GAAAAGCTTTTGGTGTTAACTTTAGTGTTGGATTTACCCTTTACAAACAATCAGGACAGCAGAGAGGGTTCAACGTCTTAAATTTTATTGAAGGTCATTAAAATACATATAATGAAATAAACTTATAAGAGACATCAAAGTATTCATATGAAAAATACAAGAAGAGAAAATCAACAGATTTACCCATATAAAGTTTCACTATTATATGTTATATGTTACAGATGACAATCTTCTCCATAATTAAAGAGAATGTTAACATCGTGTGGTAATAATTGATTGACATAAATTTTCATGGATGGATCGATGGTTAAGTCCGAAGCATCTTTAAGCATTGAAATTATCTTCAATAGATTATTTATGATTTGTTTAGTCATTTTCTTTAAAAAGAGATGATTTGAGATGAAGAACATCGATTTATAATTTCTTGGTGTTAATGTTAAGAGTCAAAGTTGGTATCAAAGGGTTTGTAGTCGTCGAATTGATGATGATGCGCACAGAGATTATGAATGACAAAAAACGACAAAAGGTGTTAGTCTTACTATCAATGGCATGCATCAACTTTAAAGAAAATAGTGTGTATTGAGGGCATGTATCAACCTCTTTGGTAATGATGCGTTCTAACAACTTATATTAGTATTACAAGGGATCACATGCAAAAATATTATTGGTATTGACAAGCGATCACAACAATGGCGGATCACAACATCAACAATTTATGTTGGTATAACTTAATATGTTGTGAAGAATTGACATGAGATATTGGCCACAGGTGATGATATTTGAGAGACGGTAGTAATTAAGCGATATTGGTTAAAATGTTATAAATGGGTAAAAATGATTGGGAAACTATAATGGGTAGGCAATTGTTGGGGCATTGTTCTCTCCAACTCCAAAAAAAAGGTTCAATTATAGTATTATTGATTGATGTTTCAATGAATTTAAGTAAGTTCTCAAAAGTAATGTATTGGACAGAACCGATATTAATTCCCTTGATCTTAAATTATTCATTTAATATTTTAAGTATTTTAATGATATCAAAATTTAGTTATCTTAAATTCTCTATTTTCCTCTCTCCAATTTGCTAGTTTTGTGCATGCCAAGTTCACATAATGTTGCTTTTCCAATTAACCTTGTGAAAATTTCAACTATGTTTTGAGTGCCTGCAAATAAGGCTCATTTGAACTCAAATCGAATTACTTTTAATGTCATTGTTTTATCTCATGGAGATGTCCAATTCAACCATAAATCTATTAAAATTAGAATTTGAATGGTCATGAATATTTTAATTCCAAAAATGCACGATCTAAATTAGAATATAAATTCTGGTACTATCAATTGCAAAGTTGTTGAAAAAGAGAACTCGACAATATTAGAGTTCCAAAGAGGATCATAGAAACAAAAAAGTAAAATAAATTTTCTGCCAATTAATTTTCAGGCTCATTTGAGGAGGCATTTTGACTCTGTTGTGGTGTACACGAAGCCAAGAAAACAGTACTCTCTTTTGAATGATAACCTTCACAAAACATCTCTTCCACCGCAATGGCAACTTCGCCCAAATTCCAACCGTGAAGACGCCATAGCGTTCGTCCTGATGTTCCGTTTTATTTACATCGACATGTTCGATTTGCTCGTTTGTCGCTGCTTCATCCCTTTTTCCCTCACGAACCAACCATCTCCTAATTTTCTATTCAAACAGCCTTGTCATTTATCTAAAGTGTAAGTTTATAATGGAGCTTTAAGGATACTGCTTTTAAACTAACTTTTCCCACTGGCAAAGCCTTGTCAAACGTGGACTAAGAATGATTTGTTACTAAAAAAAATCCATATGATCAGGCACAAATTTTCTATCAAAGAATGAATGACCAGCAAATAAGATTACTTTTTTTGGGCGCTAATTTAATTTTTTATTGGAATTATTTTCTGAAGTATTAGTTAATTTAGTTGAAAAAAAATTTAAGAAAAACATTATTTAAATTTTAGATCAAATTTCATAAAAATTAATTTTAACATCCAACATTAAAAAAATGTGACATTAGCAGTGTGGAAAGTACTGCTTTCTGAACTCCCGGTTTATAAGGGCATCTTACCTAGTTGGTCAAACGTCCTATCAACATTTGGTAATCAACGTATTTCTTTTAACTTTTTCTTGACCAATCCAAAACCCGGCTGTACTAATGCATACATTTTATATTGCTTACAATACAACTTACAGATATTTACATAAATGGCACTTAATTCTTATGTATTTGCATATCTAACTCACAAAGTTGTCACCTTGATGTCATAAATCTATGTATAAAAAAATATATTTTACTTAAAAAAATATATGATGGTGATATTTTATTACGTCATGTTAGAGATTTGAGTGGTATAAATGTAAATACGTATATTTAGGTGTTATACATGTAAATAATAAGAATTGTGTGGTATGGACAAGCATTCAAAATCTATGACAAAAATAATTTAGATACCAAATGTACATTATGTATGTCTGATTAGCTCTCTCGTCGCTTTACTGTTTTCATATAAATGATAATTTTAAAGTATAAAACATGTATAATTAATCTTTCAAAATAAAAAAAGTACTGTTTGACTGTGAGATAATTCGATGCTAGCCTAACCGGTCAGTTTGTTCACCTAAAAACTGGCATACATGATGTAAAATTTCATTAAAATATCAACCAAATGTTCACTGGTAACGAACTCCATTTACCTAACACGACGCTGCATCTTACTGCATTTTAACATGATAAATATTCCACAAAAATGATATACAAATTATTTCATGCTGACCTTCAAAAGATAAAATTCGTGCATCATCATATTTTGACGAAAAGATTTAAAAATGGAATTATTTGCTACTTTGATGACATTATATAAACATATAGTACATTAACTAAATCTGCAAACAAAAATTTTAATATAGGAATAGAAATTTAAATATGGTTGAAAATCGATCTATGAAACTTAACAATTAATTGTGATCAAGATTTTAGAAGTCCATGAAAAATCTTGATGATATAGGTGCACATTTTATAATTTGATAGTTGTCAGAAACTGGATGCAAATTATTCTTATTGCAAATTTGTGCTCGTCTAACAATTTGATAATAGTCCGAAACTCAAGGCATGACTGTTAACTATAGCAAAATTTTATATCATATTACAAATTGATGGAGGAAAAAGAAATAAAATAAGAAAATATTGAGTAAGAAGTAAAGAAAAAACATTAGAAAAACCATAGAACTACAGCACCATTTCGGTAAACAACATAAAACTATAGCAAATTTCGTAAAATGTAAGGTGTCATCAACGAGAAAATATTATGTGTGATGATATTTTCCCCCATCAATTAAAGAAAGATAGATATATGATTACCTTAATAAAACGCTAATGTTCAAGTAAATCCTATAAAATTTAAGTTGAGAAAAACAAACTAAGAAATGCTTAAAATCTTCAATCTTTCCTAACTCGATATGATACCTGGAAATTCAAAAATGTGGCATGGAGAAGAAAGGTGTAATTAAACAATTCAAAATATCATTATACCAAGCAGAACTTAAACCAATGTGTTTTCAGCGTGAAATCAGAAGCAGCCAAATTTGTATAAAATCAATAACGACTGTTTTAGAACGAAAAGTCAGAAGTGCACAAATTCCACTGAAAAAAAGAAAGAATGATTAACACAGTAGACCCGATTCTGATGCTCAAACCAGGAGGAAAAAAGAGTCATGAATTAAAACAAAAGAATGATGAATCAAAGTGGTATTTACATGCATACCATAAAATTATTATTTATTAACAAATCTATCACTTTTATTTCACATTCATAAATATTACACTATGATGTCTAATATCGCATCAAAAATATTACAGTTACTAATTTTATAAAAGTGGAATGCAACTTTTCATGCATTAGCTCACATAAATATTATGGTTTTGGTGTTATCAATGTAAATAATAAATATTATTTGGTTGTTTTGTAAATCCCCAAACTTGAAGAAGCAGTTAATTTCATTATATATATTAAAATGGGATGTATATACCGCTATATTTTGATGCAATTACACATCTAACATCTAAATTTTAATAATTAAATACCAAACATCTAAAGGGCTAAATCATATCAAAACATATGTATGGAAAGATAAATTTCGCTTAAGACAAATTAAATTTAGTGACTTTTCTATATGACTTAATGATAAGGCTATTAAATGTAAATAAAAAAGATATACATGTATAAAACATTAGCTGTACATATGTAAATTCTCCTAATTTAAAATTTTGAAAAGATGACACTTGAAGTCATATATTCTTACGACTAGTTTCAAAACAAACAATAAAAGAATCAAATCTAATACGGGGAGATCAAACTAATAAATGTTTTTGTCGCATATCATACAGTGCTACAAAAGTATTGATTGAGTTTAACATTAAATATTACTTACCAAAAAGCTAAAAAAAAAAAGAAAAAAAACACTACTTCAACACTTTTTGTTTTCATAAATAAGTAGCCCTAGTATTCATAAGTTGTCGACCATGGGTGTGTAGCCGATGGCATACAATAAATACTAAGTACAAATTTCAACTAATCTAACTAGATAATTACATGATCGATTGTGGATTGTCAGGCAGATAGGCTGATACATGGAAAGCTGCTAACCATTAGTTATACAAAAGAGTTACATTCTTCATGACATAATTAATTTCAAGTATTCAAAATGGCTTAAAGACTCCAAATTCCAAATGAATTTTTCATTTGCAACAAACTACGTACATTAGTTCATGCAGCATGATCAGCCCTATGAAAACTATAACCAAACGTTCAAATTAAAAGTTATTAATAGTACTACAAAATGCAATTCAACTCCAATTTTCATAGATATATAATTCCATAAGTTAATTTACATTTAACTCATACATAATTTATAAGCACACGGCTTTATTATACATATATATATATATATATATATATATATATAAATATGTTCTTTCCCCACCAAAATCTAAGACTGTGAAGGAAGTTTGCGTTCTGAGGCCAACTCTCAATTTTCCTTGAGAATCCCTCAACCCAAATGCGCATATATAGCGCAGCATTTTGTACATATATATACATATATAATATAAGTTCTAGCAATGTTAGGATCTTAACCATGTATGACATCTGTTTGAATAAATTAAGAAAAAAGTATAATTATATTTCCTACCACCGCCAGCAATCGCCATGCAAAGTCCAGTCAAAATCCAACAGCCAAGAAATCTATGAAAGAAACTCCAGCTTCGCTCTGCTGCTCTTTCTCATGCTGATCTCCCTCATCCTCTCTCCTCGAACACTCTCCAGTTTCATTAGAATCAGTACTGTTTACTTGCAGGAAGTCATAGAACTCGATCGAGCTCTCCCTACTTGTTTCTCCTTCTGCTATAATTAATTTAACACATATAATTCTCAATTAGTAAAGTTGATCTGCCTCAATCCTCAATTTATAAATTATATAATTTATACACATACATACGTAAGGTTTAATTTTTACCTTCATGAATTACAGGCCAATAGCTATATTCCCCTTGGCTTTGAGAAATAGGATGATTAAAACCACACAGAGTTCCGCCATGTCTACCACCTATCAAGCTTGAAAATAAAAGCCCTTTTGGAAATTCAAAGTTCATCTTCTCCTTCCTTTCTTTCCGTATAACATGAGATTCTGGAGATATAGAGGACTGCTTTGGCTGAAGCTTAGATCTCTCGCGTGATCTTCTCGCCATGATTACATGCCAGTGATTCTTCACTGCGTTGTCAGTGCGACCAGGAAATAGACGGGCTATGATAGACCACCTATTGCCATGAATTCTATGTGAAGCAAGAAGCCTTTCCTCTTCTTCTTCTGTGAAAGGGCACCGGTTTATTCTTGGGTCTAGTTGATTGTACCATCTCAACCGACAGCTCTTTCCTGTGCTTTATTGATGCATCAGGTAACATGTTAAAATCAATCAAAAAATATATATATATATGCTGTATATATTAATATAAGGAAATTGAACCTGATCTCCCATGAAGCATCTCGGCGATGGTATTCCAGTTATGAGGGCCTAACTTTGCCACCAATTCCTTGAGCTTTTCGTCTTCCTCGGGCCTCCAGTGGCCTCTGGTGCACATTTGAACAAATAAATTACGTGTCGGTCTGTTGATGAAGTGATATATGTAGGAGATGAGTACTTATATGTATGGTGTGAATTAGGGTTTTCGTAGATTGATCATGACTTTATATATGATGAAGTGGTTATGATTACTGAAGAATAAACCAAATAGAGAGAGATTCTGATGTGGGGGGAGACGGGTAGTTATAAGGAAGGAGAAGGAACGGATATTTCTTCAAAAACTTGCACTTAGAATAGAATTAAGGGGAAAGAGGCTTCTTGATCCCGTTACAGAGAGAGAGAGAAAGAGAAAGGAAGTTGGAAGAGATGGTTACACTGGTGGTTGATCCTACGTGTGGCTACAAGGTAGAGAGAGAGAGAGAGAGAGAGAGAGGTTGCTTGGTGGGATGAAATCAGTTCTTATTTCAACATCTCCACAGGTTTCTAACCTACAACATCTACTCAGAACCAAACTTTTTCCACCAATATTCATTTGCTTGTATGATGTAAGATTATTTGTGTGTAAAGATACAGGGTACTTGGAAGTCCTAAAAAATAATGTGAATTTGTTGGTAAGCCACCTTCAAACAGCAGAAGTAATATTCAATCGGCAATATGGAGTAGTAATCAATGTTTTTCTACAATATAATTAAAATATGCATTATATTAATGGTCGGAAAGATGATAAATAAATATATATAGGTTGAATTCTTTATAATTAGTAGGATAAAAGCGCTAATATGCAGCGCTTCGTCACATGTTTTTAGACGTATTATTTTTTTGAGAAATTTACATACAAATCACGCTAGTTTTATTTATTTACATATCTGACATCTAAAGTTTGATATTCATATTTAAAACACGTTGGTGGCATAAATTTATGCATTAAGAATATATTTCACCCTTTAAAATAATAATACTTTTGATTTGATGTTAAATATTTGATTGATAGGCCTGTAATTATTAATGTTATGTAAATGCATAGGAATTGTGTGATATGTATGTAATATTTCATCAATTCAAATTTTCAATATTAACTAAAAAAATGCATAAAATAAAAAGAAAAAAATACTAAAAAAATTGTTAGCTAAAATACATGATTTTTTTGTATGTTTCCTTGACACTGAATTTTTTTTACTAAACTATTTGACGTGCATGTAACGGTGAATCTACTTGAGATGACATCAAAGGAATTAACTAGGATTTATGCTGCTCATCACTTTAAATCTAAGTGGAAAACCTTATGTCAAAAGTATTCTTGGACAACCCTGAAATGCAATTAACCAAGTGAGATACGTCCCCTTAGGAGTACTCTAGACCCCAGAATATACAAACACACCTGAATATCTAGTTGTAGATAGGTTTCGTCGGCATTCTTTCACGGATGCTTAGCACAAGTTGTTTCAAACTGATCATGTTCGGACGTACATGCTTGACCTATCCTCACATGTTTTGCTAATCTAGGTTCAGAAGCATGAGAGCATGACATTGCATTGCAATAATTGGAGGTAAAAGCCTCATTGCTCCATCACATTTGGCAACATGAAATTGCAACAATTGAAGGTAAACACCCCATCGCTATTCAAAGCTCCACTGCGCCTCAATGCTAATAATTACATTTATGCAGTTATGTGATTTAATTTTTTATTTTATTGATCAAAGGTATGTGTGTTGAGGATGGGATTTCAATTTCTATTGTGTAAGGGCGAGAAGAAAGAGAGTTCAAAAGTGTAGAGAGGCATGATTGTAATGTAATTTATACAATTATCCTCATTTTTCATAATGAATTTCTTGTTGTGGTGTAGCACCATTTTTTTCTCGTTATCATTTTAAAATTTGAATCTTGTATGTGTTCTCTATGTTCTTTAGTTTTGTGCACTTCTGTTTGAAAACTTTGGATCTCTAAAATGGATTTCTAATATTTATCTACATCTTTCAAAACAAGTGATATCAGAGTGGAGTTTCTATATTTTGTTGTTTTGAGTGAAAGCAATGACTAACAAAACAATGTACAAGGTTGAGATCATTTCAATGGTTCAATCTTTACTTTCAAGAAAATATAAATTGGTCTTTTGTTTTTTATAAAAAGAATTATATTTATCATTGGATGGAATCATTGAGAAGCTGAAAGTGATATCACTTTGGAAGAATGAGAATTTCTAGATTGAACAACTCTAGATTGGATATGACTTTCATTTTTCTCATCTATTGCAATCAACATTATGAATGAGGAGACTGCTATTGATCTTATATATGCACTAAATAATGTATGAGAAGCATTTGGCTGCAAACATTATTATAATTTTTTTTGAAAAAATTATTCAATAAGAAGATGGTGGATGTTAGTTCAGTGGTTGAAAACTTGAATAAGTTCAACACTATGATTAACTAGTTGTGTTTTGTTGGCCACACAAGTTTGATGACAAGGTTAGGACAATATTACAGTTATATTCGTTACTATATAGTTAGGATGGACTTGTTATTGAGGTGGTTAATTCCTTAAAAACATGAAATTGAATTTGGATGATATTGCAGGGTTTGTATTGAATTAAGGGTTTTGCAAGTAGGTGACCACTAAAACATCAAATTCTTCTATGAATTTTGCACAAGACAAGTAGAGAAAGATAAGTCCTGGTTAAGGAGAGAAAAAAACAAGAGTGAATGTTGGAACTATAGGAAGAAATGCCACTTGAGAAAATATTACAAATCTCCGAAGAATGTTGGTGGTGGACATCAAGGCAAAAAACTCCTTACAAATGTTTTCACAAATGAAATCTAATGTGACTTCCTTACTTTATCCTTAGATAATATTAAATCATGTATAATAGATTTAAGTGTCTCTCTTCATACTTGCATAACAAAGAGGTGTTCAAAAAACTACATTCAAAATGATCTAAGAAATATGTATTTGTGAGAAAACAAGGTCTTCATTATTATTGGAAAGGATTGGGTTGATATCAAGTTACCAAATGAATCATTCTAGGAACTGCATGAAATTAGATATGTTCTACGTTTGAAGCAAATATGATTTCTATGAGTTAACTTATAAGTTAGTCTATATGACCAATTTCATAGGTGATTACTGGAAGGTGACTAAATATAATAGTGATGGCTCAATGCAACATTGAAGGTACCACTTATCTGATCATTGAAATGCATGAATCTATTAGAGTAGCTGGAATAAAGGTTGATACATGTCTCCAACACTGTAGGCTTTTTCATATGAGCAAGAAAAGTATAAAATCCTTCATTTATAAAAACAAACTTCAGTGTTTAAAGTCTATAGATTTAAATTTTTGTGAAGATTGTGTTTATAAAATGAAAAATAATGTTAGTTTTTTTAAAAGTGGCTCAAATTTGACGTTCAAAAAATAAAAATTAATGCATACTAATATATGGGGTGAGAGGAAGGACAATTCTTGAGTTCCACAGTGTATAAAGGCATGATGTGGTGGAATTTATACGATTCTCTTTATATTTTTTAATAAATTTCATAGCTTGGTGTGGTTCCATAGTTTTTTTCCCTTTCTCTTATTTTTCCACATTAAATCCTACATTATCTATGATTTCTGGTTTGTGCACTTCTATTCTAATTTTTTCTTTGGATCTTTTGAATTAATTTTTATGAACTATCTGTGTCTCTCACAACAAATGACATTCGAGCAAAATTTCTGAAATTCTTCAGTTCTGGTGAGAGTAATGGCCAAATAAGTGAGGTATAAGATTGAGAAGTTCATTGGTTCTTACTTACTTTCTAGAAAATACAAATTCTAGATAAGTTATTGAGTTATTTATTCTGTGATTACCAATATCACAATATTCAATCGATCGATAATTAGTTTTTATGATATAAATGTTTTTTTATCTTGGTGAATGAAATTTTAGCATTTTGTTGATCTCCTAATAAAATTATTTAGTATATCGTTAACTCGCTTTTTTATTTTTTGACCTAGAAGCAGGTAAGTAGGCCACTTTAGACCAAAAACCAAACGGCTCGCTTTTTTTATAATTTTTTATTTACAGACATACCGCATAAGTCTTAATGCATTTAAATATCTAACATCCTTTTTTAAAAGTGAAATAAATATTTTCATATGTAGTTTTATGACAAGAAAGTATTTTTTTTTTGGCTTTTTTGGCAAAAACAACATCAAAGAGAGATAAACATAAATACCAAATTTTAGAGGTTAAATATGTAAATACAAAAAAATTGTGGGGTAAGTAAATTATTATTTCTTAAAAGTTTTTGTAAGAAAGAAAGACGCCATATTCAAGGAGAAAGAGACGAAAGAATACATTATGGCTAATTTTCTAAGCGGCGTCATGGGAGGAAAACGACATTGTATTAATACACCAATTTTATATTTGGAAAAAATAAATAAAATTAGGTAGTACTTCATAAATAACAAGAAAAAAATCAAGATAAATCGAAGAAAACATTTGACAGCGATTGATGGAGCGTAATTATTACCAGAAAATTTGTACCATGGAGTTATAAGATAACTATAAAAAACTTATAAAAAATAGATAATAAATAGGGTTATTTCTTCTTATTTTGAGCTGAGATGGAGTTGGCTTAAAATAGGCTCGAAAATATTCAATCCCAAATTTTGGCTCATGATTTGGCTTATTTATTTCGATCTAATCTCAATTCGAGTTAAAATTTTAAACAATTTTCTAGCAATTAATGACCTTCAAGCTAAATTCGCTAAATTCATAGCCTTAACATCATTGAAGTTGTTAAAAGTTCGATTTCAAGCCGAACTAGGATCGGAGCAAAATCGGTTCAATTCAAAATTTTGAATTAGTAGCTCAGCTCATTCATTTTGAACCGATCACAACCCTTGCAATTTTCAAGAGATTAAAGATCTTCAAGCTAAAGCTCTACTATTATATGAATTAATAATCAGGTGAGGGTAGGTCTCAGTTATCTCCCAAGGTAAAATCAATATTCCATTTTTTTCCAATTAGCTAGATTAAAATATAAAAGTACATAATAATAATAATAATAAAACATTCAAAATTAAGCTCACCTAATAACTTCCATGTTGTAACTACGCACTTCTTCCTTGAATGACATTGATATATTAATTGCCTCCAGCCTGAATTACAGGTAAACAGGACGAGGAGAGATCGAAGTTCTGCAGTTTTGTCTGTTGGCCTAACATCCATGTTCAAAGTTGGATGGATCTGCCTCCTCGGCTAAGTAGGAAGTTGAACATAGTTATAGCTTCCATGCAATATTAGTCTAACGAAAATTAGAAGCAGGAAGATGATG